CAAAAACTGAGGACTGAATCCACAAATGACCAGAACGTCACTACCCCATCTTCCCTATGACTGTTCATGTTCCCCATTTATAAAACGAAGATTGCATTGATGTGCCTCTCAAGATAATTATGTAGTTATATATGATTGCCAAGTGCTCCAAGACCATAAAATTTTTTATAAATGCCAGCCATGATTATAACCCTTTGAAACAATGGGATACAGGATTAACAAGTGGAAAAAGATGAGACAGAGCAGGTAATGCTTCTCGCCCAGTCCCTGTTCCTCTCCCCACCCACCACCAGACAGTAACTCAGAGTTAAAACCATAAAGTGGGAAAAAGGGGTTTAACTAGGGTCTACCCAGGATTTCTTGGACATATGCCATCATCCTGCCAAAGTCTGACAAAGGGAGCTTGAGGCAAGATTTCTTACTGGTGAATGATTCCCAGTTCACTGTTGAAATGGACACTCAGATGAAGAAGGCACCTGGTCATACCTACCTAAAGCTTTGGGGGCCTTCAAGAGCTGATGAGTGATTAGGAGAGGGACAGTCAAGGTGAAAAACTGTCAGACTCGACTCTATCTGGATCTCCTGTGTGGCTGGCCTGCCAAGGGGAGGGCAGCAGGGCATGTCTTCTTCTTCTTTTGTTTTTCCTTCCCCCAGATGTATCATACAAAGGGGCCAGGAAAGGTGTGTTGCTTGTTGAATAAATGGGGCATTCAAACTTTCCTCCCAAGCAACACATCAGGAAAAGAGAGGGCAGGAACATCTTTGGTTGTTTTATTGTGGAGCCTTAACAAGATTTTTGAAGCCAGAGGTGACTCATTAATCCAAACTTTCACATGATTGCTGCCATCCATTGTAGTGAAAACCAGGATCAATAATCAGATTGTTCCCCACTTGACATCGTCTGGCCTCAGAGGTCAGCAGTGGGCACAGAAAACATTGTGATTTACAGGGAGGGGAAGGGAAGCGGGGTGTGTGACAGAATTTGCAGTTCTAACACAGCCGTGAGCTCAAGAATGGGGGATGTTACTTGTCTAGATATGTCTGAAGACGTCAACCCCGTCCAAATCAAAGTGGGCCCCACATCTCATATTGGAAACATCAAATTATCTGGGAGTAGTTGATTGGTGGGTGGGCTACTGGGACTATGTAGGGAGGTCACTTCCCATCACAGGCTTCTTGGCAGGAGGTAGAACCATGGACTTGTGGTTTGGAATTTTTGCCAAATGGTTCCTGTTTCCCTGAAGAGTTTTGGATGTGGGATCAGTTCAACTTTTTCCCACTTCTCAGCCATTCCACTGTCAGCCACCTCAGAACACTGAATGCCTTGGCATAAGGAGCTGGTGAGGTGGCCCCCATTATCTCCTCTCTTGACGTCAGTGAGGGAGTTGTTCCCTGTGGCTGTCTTATGGGAAATAATTCAGCATTTGTACTTCAATTAAAATTCATAGGTATATATTATTAAATGATACTGACTCATTCCATGGCTTCTTTTCAGCTGATTAAGTGCCAAAAAAATGTTACATATGTGTTAATAATGATGAAGAGTGCATTAAACCTAAGATTTCCTTGTCCGTTGACAGTGCTGTGAAGCAAGCACTTCACCCGTCTGGAGGATCACTGTGTCCTGTGTCTTCTCTAGAGAAGAAACTTAAGCTCAAGAGTCTTTCTGCCTTTGAGGGAGAGGAAAAATGACACTGGACTACAATCCTCTTTCCTTTTGTGAGCTTCACAAAAGCAGCACTGGGCACAAGGTATGTTCTCCAATGTGGGCCTGAATCAAATTGAATTATGCAACTCATATTCAATATTTGTCAAAGAAGGGGAATCACACACAAAATCACAAGATCAGGTAGCTCAGCCGGAAGACAAAAGAGGAGTTTTTCCTGACTTGATAAAGTCAAACCTTCTTCTTTACACTAATTCATTATTTTATATTTAATGTGCCTAGGAAGATGGCCCAGGGAACAGTGGTAATAGTGCTTTTTTTTCCTCCCTGGCTCAAAAGACCATGCTTGTAGCTAACTGTAGTCATTCCACGCTGAGTGACCACAAGCAATCACTTTACTTCACACCCCCTGCCCAGCACACCTCCTGGGATTCCTCGTGTGTGGACATGTCCTGTGTTATAAGCACTCAACACAATAAAACAGATGAAAACAAAAGCTTAGTCATCAAGACAAATGGTGGTTCTCTAAGCCATACCAACCAAGAGCCCTAAACATAAAAATTGAGCTTTTCAGCTTAGGCTGCCTCCAGTACATTTATCACCTCTGTGTGAATAAGTAAAAGGCTCCCCCAGCCGGTTGTGGTGTGGTGGTGCACGCCTGTAATCCCAGTGACTTGGGAGGCTGAGGCAGGACCATTCCAAGTCTGAGGTCAGCCTGAACAGCAACTTAGTAAGACCCAGTCTCAACATAAAAAGGGACTGTTTTCTCAGTGATAAAGTACCCCTGGGTTCAATCCCCAGTACCGAAAGAAAAAAATAAAAAAGGAAGAAAGAGAACAAAAAACATTCCCTCCTTCTGGACAGACACAGATTTGCAGATCCATGGATTAGTCAGCAAGTTCCATCTTTAGCTGGATTATAAGAAGCAGCCCTTCCTGTAGGTGGACAAAGCCCGGCACCAGGATCCTAAGCCCCGTGTAACATAACCAAAATCAACAGCCCTGGCTTTAGCTCTGGCTCTGTTTCATCCCTGAGCTTCTACCTAAAGAGAAAGAATTGAATTGTGATTTCTATGGCTTTCTTCGTCTCTAAAAACTTCAAATTTTCCAATGGGCTTTTCTATTCTTCTACAAGAGGGATTATCTAGCATACAGATACTGCAACTTCTAAGTCTGAGATATTTTAGTCATCTGATGACACTCCCTAAATATTTAAATGAAATTATGTATGGTTTGATGTGGAGCAGATTAAAATATAAATGCTTTAGCACATGCATGATGTTCCAGGTGTCGAGCAACATGGTGAACCAGCAAAACGGGAATAACTACCCAGTGCTGTCAGCAAATGTCTCAAGATGTGGATCTCACACAATGATGTCTATTGAGGCCTTCACCCACTTTCTGTGGGATCGAGCATCAGACAGTGCTGAATGCCTGAATGCTCTCCCAGAGCACCCACTGCACCCAGGAAACCAGGATTGCAAAGAACCAGGGACTGTTTTCTCTGTTGATGCCTTGTTGCCAGAAAACAGAAATCAGATCCTTGCCTGGATCCTCCTATCAGCAAATTTGAGTGCCAGCAAGCTCTTTGCAGTGGAAGAACAGACAAATAGCAATCTGCTTCAAAGCTCAAGAATTTTGAGCCCTTAAAATTGGGTTTAAAAATCTTATAATCACATGTGCATATAAGGAACCCATTTGCAAGTCTCAAAATGTTAGCAGAAATGAATTTGTTCTTATTTGGGACTATTTCTAAAATTAGTTTTGATTGGGGGATTTATTTGTTTGTATTTGGAGCACATGGGAGGGTTTCTGGAAAGCTATACCTAATTATGTCATTTTTAGAGAAGGAAACTGAAGTCCAGAAAGGGAAAGAAGGTAGCTCCAGGTCACACAGCAGGGTAAATATGATGGGGCTGGGATTATAATTTAATGCTCTTTCCCTTTACCCATGATGAAAATGTAAGCAGAAAGTTTGGCGGAAAACAGATGGCACATAAATCACTGTAACTCAAATTTTCAGTTTCAAAGAATGGATGTTCTTACCACTAACCAAGAACATGCATTGTAGAAAGTAAATCTTAGCTCTACCAGTGCCCATCACAAAGGTGACAGTCTCACACTGGTAAAATATGGCCCACACACCCTGTTTTACAGTCTATAGAATAACCCCATAGACTGTAAAACATCTTTGCAGCATCCCCCTTAGTACTGGGATCAGAACCAGTCATTCTCTGGATTAATATCCCCCTGGGCCAACCATCTGTTTCTTCCAAAGCAGTGTCCCCCAGGAGCTGTGTGCCTGCTAGCAAAAGAGTTGTGGCCCAACAGTGCTTCTAGGTTGTCCAGGAGCTGCTGTGGGACCACTGTCTGAAGACAAAACAGGCACCCGGGAGAAGATATTAAAACAAAGTTCCCTTTATTAAACACCTCCGACACAAGCAGGAATCTGTGAGCTGGGCAGCAGCAATGTGGAGGGGCCGTTGAATATAAGCAGATGAAGACTGGAATCAATCAGACTCACTTTTCTTAGTATAAAACATCCCTTTCCTCTAGGGGCTGCCGCTCTCCAGCAGCCTGGCCATAGTGTCCTGAGCCAGGTGGGATTAGAGATTTTCTTCCAAAGTCACTGGAGTGAAGACCCATTCCATTCCAACCTCTCTGTGACTTTTTGAAGACAACTCAGAGGGCAGTCTCTCCCGGAGCACCTTGGAGGGTGAGCTGAAGTTTCCAGTATACAGAGTGAGGTTGTTCCCTGGTGAGAACACCAGAACCAAAAGCTCCAGCAAGGCCCTGGGAAGACGGCCCCTCTGTTGCAGGCAGTCCTCAGCCAAGAGCTTCCCTCCTGGAGCTTGGATGGCCCTCATGCCCAGGACACCTGAGGCCGTGCAGACTTCACCAGGGGCTCTGCAGACCCAAAGCTTAGCTGACTCTGGAGAGTTGAGCTCACGGCTGTCAGCACCTCGAGAGGACATGGCGGAAAGGCACCGAGCCAGGAAAGCATGCTGAGACCAAGTCACACTCTAACTTTAGAGCTGGGACACACATAAGAGTGTGGATTCGCCAAGAACCAGCTTATTCTCTCTGAGTTTTTGAATGTGCAGCAAATTGTGTGTGTGTGTGTGTGTGTGTTTTGTGTGTGGTTTTTTTGTGTGGTATGTATTTTTGGTGTTTAGATGTGTTTGTGCATGTGTATGTGTATGTGTGATGTGTTTGGCGTGTATTTATATGTGTGGCATGTGTGTGGTGTGTTATGTGGTACGTGTGTGATGTGTTTGTGTGTGGTGTGTATATGTGGAGCAAGGGAAGGTGACTGAGCTTTGAAATATCATCTGAAGAAAAACCAAGAAAGACAGAAGTGAAGCAAAGCTAGCACCCTAAGGAACAGAAGGGAGATCTAATGACTCATATTAACCTGTTAATTTATACCATGGCTCTGTACAAAAATAAAAAGGTTCTTTTAAGATTAACAATTTAAATAAATATTTGATAGAACTTTCTTTCTTGTTTTTATAGCTCATCTTTGGGGTTAATGTTCAGTTCATGCTTTCCTTGCTGCTCCTGATCCAGGATTGCAATCACTTCATCGGCCTTTATTCGTTCCTGCAAAGAAGACAATTGACAAGTTTCTGTTACAAGCATAGTAATCAATACCAGTGGCAGATGCTTCCTGAACACTTCCAGGCATCCATATGGGCATGGATTGGTGCTAAATCCAGTTAAGGATGAAACCTCATCTTCATCTCCTTTGTCCTAAGTAATTATTTTCCATGATTTCTTTCCTGCAAAACATGTCTTGCATATTCAACCACTTCCTACTCTTGCTACTTCATGGTCTCATCAACATCTCCAGCTCAGCTCAGTATTCTAACTAAATGCACCTTTTCTCCCCCACAGACCTATTCTGTTCCTCAGATACTAAACCTCGCAGTAAAGCCGCTGCCCTCCCATTTGCCATAATAACCTGACCATGGATTCCTGCATCTGATAAGCCATTTCGTCCTTTCCATTTTGTCTCTTTTTTCTGCCCCTTTCTTTTCCAGGCATAATACTGTGGCTTTATTTTGGGCCAGGGTTTCTCAACCTTGGCGCTGCTGACATTTAGAAAAGATCATTCCTTGTTGTTGTGTGTGTTTGTGTGTGGAGAGAGGGTCAGGTGCATTGTAGAATGTTCAGCAATGTCCCTGGTCTCTACTTACTACAGGTAGCCAACAGGATGTCTCCCTAAGTTGTGATGACCAAAGTGTCCCCAGACATTGCCCAATGTGCCCTAGGCAAAGCTCCTTCTTAACAGCCACTGGTTTAGGTCCACGTTATTTCCTAACTCGGTTGCATCAGAAACTTCCAAATTGAACTCCCTATTTCGCTACTCACAAGCTTCTAATACTCATGTGCTTTTCTTGGGTCCTGCTCATAAACCTGGCCATATCACTCTGCTGCTCAGTACTCAGACCCTTGGCTTCCAATGGCTTGGAGGTCTGGGTTCATATTTCTCTGTGTGCTTATAAGGAGCTCACTGATTTAGACCTTTCTGTGTCATCAGCCTTACGTTGTTTTCTTCCCTCTCCTCTTCTTACACTCCAACTTCCTGACTTACCTCCTGATCCCTAAATACTACAGTCTCAAAAGAACTGCCAAGTCCTAGTCTAAATTAAATATCCTTCTGGATGTTGCCACTGTATCCTGTGTTTTCTCTTATCTCACACCAACCAGCCATAGATCTAGCCGGTCGACCACCACACTGCATCTCAAACCTCCCACGTCTTTCACCTTTTCTGTCATTACTCTAAGTCCAGATATCTGCTAAAGTAATCTTCTGGATCTGGTCATTCCCAGAACTGGGGGAGCAAACTGGGAGGAGAAGGATACAATGGCTTCCTAGCAGTTAGAATGGATTTCAAAGTACTGATCCAACCTGGAAAGTGTGGACCTGCTTTCTCTGTTCTCCTTTTGTACTATGCTCCATCTTGCATGTCATAACCCAGTCACTATTCTTTGTTTTTTGTTTTGTAATATTTCTTTCATGGTGGGGAGGTTGTTTGCTTGTTTTTGATTCTGGAAACCCAACTCAGGGCCTTACCAATGCCAAAGCATACACTCTACTGCTGAGCTACACCTCCAACACCTTTTTTGTCTACCTCTCTAAGCTCCCTCTTGTCTCTGGGCCTTTGCATTGTCATCTGAGCCTGAAATGCTCTTCTCCAGATGTCTGTTGGCTCTTCTTGTCACTGGGGTTGCAGCTCACATGTCACTTGCTTGGCGAGAACTCACAGTTTGACAGCCCATTATTCTCAAATCAATTACCTTGTTCCATTTTGCACACACCATTTATGACTATGAGAAATTCTCTCAATTGGTAATATTTTTGCCTATTTGTTGCCTATCTCTGTCCACTAGAATGTAAACTTCCGGGGAGGAAGGAATCTTATCTTCTTGGTCACTCCATTTCCTAGTGTACAAAAAAAGTTACTGACATTTGGCATTTATATTCAATGAGTCAATACATACATATGAAGGTCTCCTCTAAAATGCTTCTCCTTACAGAAATCTCACTCACCCTGTAAATCTCACCTCAAACATCATCTCCTCAATGACCCTTTCCTGCCTACTTCTTTATATCCCCTGCACATTCATTTGCTACTGACAATTCCTACCACCTTCTGTATCATATTTTACTTACTTGGGCACCTGTATCATCTCTCCAAAGACTCTGAGCTCCTGGAAACCGGGGGTTAAGCCTCATCTAGTCTGTATTCCCCAGAGGTAGTCTCTAGCACAGTGTAAAGCATAGCAACTTATAAAAACAACTGTTTTATGGCCTAAAAACAAATCTCCTTTCATGCAAGACCTCATAATTGAAAACAATGTTGACATAAAGACAACCAAAATAACCAACTGACTAAAAGTAAACTAAATTGCTGCTATAGCTTTTTAAAAAGGCCTGTTTACTAATTTATGAATATGCTAAGAAAATCTCGATGCTTAAAAAAAAAAAAAGAAAAACTGACACACATGCAAAGTTCTCACATCTGATGGCCACAAAATACTATCACAATTAAGTCTCTTATGAAGGGAAAGAAATTCAAGACCTAAATATGAAATACATGAAACTCTAATGTTCTTGTATAATTTATGTTGCTAAATACCTCTTGAGATTCCAGTGTATTTAAAGTAATCTATAATATATGGGAATCTGCCAGAACTAATGATTTTTTTTTTTTTTTTGCCTGCAGGCTTTCCTCACTCAGAGATTCAATCTGAGAAAAGGTTTTAGCCAGGGTTCCCAAACTTTGCTACACATTAGACTCACTTGGGGAGACTTTGAAACTCCTGATGCCCATATAACACTCTATAGAAATTAAATCAGAATTTATGAGGGTGTGAGTCAGTTGTTAATAGTTTTATAAAGATTACCAGGTAATTCCAATGAGAAGAAAGTTTGGGAATCAAGGCATAGACAAAATTTTTTATTGTTGAAGAGGCTCTTGCCATTTCCAACTGTGGTCACTAGATGCCGCTACTGCCTGAAGACTGGAGAAGTTCATAGTACTTTTCCATCCAAGGAGGAAACAATGGCATTGATGTTTTCTGATTAGGAAGGAGCAGGGAATTACTTTGTGTTTATTTTATTAATTTATAGTTCATTGATAGAACAATATGTTTGAAGAGGAAGTTTGAATACAGAATTATTAAATTCCCTCTGAGTAAGGCTAAAATTCTGGTAGTAAGGCAATTTTTAAACAATTTTACTCTTCATTGTTTCCGCCTTTACCTAGGGGCCTTACTGTAGAAGGAGTGCTTTGGAGGGACACTGGTATTTTGGAGTTTACAAAACACAGGGAGGGGGAAATGCTGGGGAATTATATTGGCCAAATTATATTTTTATATCATGTGTATGTTCGAATATGTAACAACAAATCCCATCCGTTTGTACAACTATAATGCACCAATTAAAAAAAAAGTGGGTGAAAAAAATAGGGAACAAAAGGAATTCTTGGTGAAGGAGATTGTTCAGTGCTGTTGAACTTCTCAGCTCTGTGCTCTCTTCCCTGTTAGGATAGTTCTTTCTCTTTCCATGCTAGGTATCATCTTCTTTATTTCTGAGTTTAAGTGAGTCTTCCTGTATTCCCATTTCCTGTCTTCTTGATCTCTCCCTGCTCCCTGCAGTCAAGAACTATGTTTTGTTCATCCTGTGCTCCAAGAGCCTGCCTTGCAGGGCTTTCCAGGCAATTAACAAGTCTTCTGTGAACCTGTGTTAAATGTCTGAAAGAATGCTCAGAGAATGTGGGTAAAGAACTTTTGTGAGTTCATTTTTGTTTTGTTGCAGTGCTGGAGATGGAACCCTGAGCCTAAAATGCACACACTAGGCAAGTACTCTTTCTATCTCTGAGGTACAGCCTTGGTCCTTGTTTTTGTTTTTCTTTTTTCTGAGACAGACTCTTGATAAGTTGCCCAGGCAGGCCCAGAAGTTGTGATTCTGCTGCCTCAGACTCCCTAGTAGCTGGTGTGAGATAGTTTTGATTGTGAAAAATACATAAGAAAAAGGGATTGTTTTAAAGCAGTTGCTGATGAAACTGGATTCAATTTAGGGACCCTAAAGAGCAAAACCAGACAGACCATCATTTTAATGAATAGATTCATTAGAACGTGGGCTGAAGAAGACTTTGCAGTCATTCAAGGTGACCCCTTGTCATGAGGCTCAACTTCCGTATTTCAGGCCACGTCGCTGACTGGGCTTCAACTGGAGCCACCAATCAGGACTTCCAAAGCAGACAACTCTACTTGATAGGACTAACAATTTGAAAGTTATCCCTTATGGGATAATTTTTCTCCCAGGGACTTCTGCCTATTGGTGTTAATTCATGTCTCTTCACTAGTGCAGACTACAACTGCTGCCCAAGCACATCTACAAGGATGAGATCACAGTCTCTTTTTCAGGCTAAGTGTCCTCAGCTACTTCAAATACGATATTAAGATTTAATTTAGTAGTAGTAATAAGTCATAAAAAGCTTTCAGCTTCCCTCATCCTCTTTCACATGTTTGATAAATTATTCAGTGATCATTTAATACTTTGCCAAGAAAATAATACAGTCTTTTCTCTTGGAGACCCACAAACTGTCATTCCTCTCTCCCAAGGCTCCAATTTGTTAACAAGCTCAATCTTGATTCGTAACTCCCCAATAACACTGATGATTCTATTTCTGAAAACAGCTTCACTTATTAGAAATGATCAGATTAAAAGCTGCCTTCATAGTTCCTATAAGATATGTAATTGCCACGTCAGGACCAGATCAGGGATGTTTGTTCTTGCTTAGAAAATAGTCCTAGCATTGGAAACAAGAAAAAGAAAGAATTCTGTGAAAGTTTTGTCATGATGTCTTAGGATCCTGAAGGGATATGGAACAAGTTAAAGGACTTTGTAGATTGATCAGTTCAGAAAGCAGGTCTAACTGGCCTTCCGAGTGTTAGGAACTCACCAATTCTCTATAAAGTGGGTTCAAGGTGAACCACAGAGCCACAGCACACCTCTGTCCTTTGGTGACTGCCTTCACCCCATGTGGGTTCTCTCCTCCAGATGAGAAGCTGATCATACGCCCACACTTTGGTTTTATAGAGGCCTGCAAAAGAAAATGACAGCTAGACTTTTTAATTTTAGATCATAAACATTACCCTCCGTGAAATTATTTGGGTTAAGGTTTTAGTCAAAGAATAATGGAATGCTGGGGCTGTAAAAAGAAGTCCTGTCAGTCTTTTGATCTGTAGATAAAACCTCATAAAATAAAATACAAAAAATTAAGCAAAATATGTGGAATAGCTCATGCACATAGTAATTGCTTAATACATGTTGTGCTAATAGCCTAGAGATTCCAAGAAGGCAAAGGTTTCTTTTAATTCACTTATATAGTTTTAACATAGCAAAGCATCTATGTGCAAGGCAGGTGTACATTTAATATTTGTGGAGTTAAAAAGAAATCAAGAAGACATCTGAGCACTGGAAAAGCCTAACTATTCATCTAGATAGTGGTTACATGAGAGCACCCTTTCTAATTCCTTCATTGTGTATTTATGGTTTATACATTTGTCACAATCCAAAGATTTCTAAAAGTCAAATCTAATCCAAATGATGCATTAATCCCTTCAAACTATTGCTAGCCAGTGGTTAATCAAGCTTTGTTTGACTAGTTTCAGTGAAGCGAACATACTACCCTTGGGATGACCTATTCCATGTCCTCTAGGTGTTTTGAGATGACTGACACAACACTTCAAAGCTTGCGCATTGCTCAGGTGGAGCTGTCCAGTGATATCTAGGTAGAAAAGGGCAGTGAGGGAAAAACAGATATTGCTGGGGGCACTGGGTCGGGGTGGAAGATGGAAAAGCAGGCTCTTCAAGTTGAGTGAGCTCAAGCAACTGGATATTAGAAGCCTTGGTTGTGGTTTTAAGAAGTGTCTGATGTGAGTAGAGACTATTTTTCTTTTTTAGGAAATATTGAAACCTTACAAATTCTATAGTAGACCTTAGGAAGTAAAGCAAATGCAAAACAGTGAGACTGGCCATTCTACTGCATGCTGAGAGGGACCTTTGAATGAGCTGTTCTCTGAACTGACTTGAGTTGATACAGGCCCATTAGGGGAGTTTTCATTTTCTTTGTGCATAACATGAGATGGCTGTGGTTTCCTCACTAGTGCCTTCCAGAAGAATGTCTGAAGCATTTCCTGAAGTTCTGGGATAACATTTATACTCCCAGACTGTATGAATCACACGGAAGGTTGGAGGAAGGTGGAGGAGTCAAGAAGTCAGAGGCCCAGGTGTGTGTGTATGCCCACGTATGCATGTATTTTTATGCCTCTGTGTGTGTGTACACGTGCGTGTGTGAGTATTAAGTGGAGGAGCAGAAGGGATAAGTCAGTTTCTGGTTGTTTTCCTATTCACAATAATCAAAGAGTGATTTGTCTTTTCTAGATAGTGGCTTCTCTTAAGCAGCTGTATGGAGGTGACTGTTCTGATGTAAATCTGGTGTCCATAGTATCAGTATGATTCCAATTTGGCAGAGACAGAACTTGCTGTGCCTTTCTGCATAGAAATAGAACAATAAATAATGTGTGAAGCCTGTGAAGTGGGATAGAAAAACCTTCCTAGTAAGTGACCTTGGGAGCTGGAGCTTCAAGTTCTCTGAACAGCACCCTCTGAGGAGCTGGTCAGAACTCACATGACCACACATGATGGCCATCACTCTGTGATCACCAGTTCTTGGTGGAAACATTTTAGGATATTAAAGAAAGACTGTCAGGACAATTCAGAGTTTTCTTTCTAATGAAATTAGAAGAATTGAAAGGATATTTAAATATGAAAATTTTCAAGAAAGCTTAGGAGAACAAGTTATGGAATGGCTGAAGCAATTGGAACTGATGACAGGGGAGTAGGCTCTCAGGGCCCATCAGGACTGACCAAACAGGGAGCTTCACCTGTCACACATGGAGGAATAAAGAAGCTTTCATTCTCAATTCTGACATGGTTTCTACAGGACACTGTGTTCTGGAGTTTAATTAAATGGTTACAGACATACTTTGGAACACCGCACCATTAACATTGAATTTCATTTGTCACAAAGCAAACACAACTTATTAAATTTTATCTTCTTCAAACTTACACGGAGAGCCCCAAACCCTTTAATTCTTGTTCCACAAATAAGAGCTATTATTTAAAATTTGTCTTCCAAGTATACAATTTTCCAAGTATGATTTTCACAAACAATTTTTCCTTCCATCTAACTGATAATAAAGAGCTGGAAAGAATTTGAGAGGTACTTATCCTTAATCAATGTAAACATTCAGTCACTGTTCAATTCATTATACAATATCAAGATTTTTCCAAAGTAAAGGATGGGAAAACTCTAATTCTTTTTGTGGCCCTGAGGTCAATACTTTTCTGTTTGTCCTTTGGAAGTCAAATAAGAGAAACAGAAAAGGAAAACTGTCCATTTCTCTTTGTTGAGACTGGAATAAATTTACTATGGGAAAGAGGTAAGAACTGGAAATTCTTCAACTTCAATAATTCCTAAAATCTTTACCCATGAATCTTAATTATCCCTGAAATGTTCTAAAAACTCTGTCATATGCATTAATCTAAAGAATTGAGAAGCCTTTGGGTTAAAAATTTAAGCCAGTTTTCATTTACTTTTTTGAGGAGAGGTTAGATCCATTCCTTTTAAGACCATAAATTATCTGATAATTATAGATAAATAAAAGGAGAATAGTATCTACTTTGACATGGTTAAAAAGCAGAATTTCAGTTAACTTACATTCAACAGTGAATGAAACTGATTCATACATAGTATTCCAAGCATCAATTCTTTCAAACATTCAACGTCTCCAAACATGGCCACTAGGGGGAGTAGAAGCAAAGAAATCTTCTCAACCACCTGTCTGATTTTATTTGAAACTGATTTTCTCCAAAGTGTATAAGATGGGAATGATTTTGTACCTCAGTTTCAGTGTTAGCAAAGCTCAGAAACAAAATGACTTCTACATACAGCTTTTACAAAAGTGACATTCTAGTGTAGGGCTTTTAAACTCCAACCAAGAACATCAATTCACTTAGTTTTCTACATTATGAAACATCAAAACACTCCCCAGATAAATATTTAAATTTACACACAAAAAAAACAGTGAAGCATCACAAACTTTTGAACATATATCATTGTATTAAACTGCATAAAATATTTTTTTAATTATAACAATATTTCTAAACAAGTTAAACCAGAATCTTCATAGAAATTCCCTTTAAACCAAGGAATATATGACATTTTATATCACCTGCAACAGCACAGTAGTATGTCATGAAAGATACATAGATGATGTACTGTTCAGAAAAGCATGAAGCTATGAGAGTAAAATTACAAAACTCAGGAAAAGTTGAGAAATGGCTTATGTAATGCAAAACCTTGAAGTTTATCATATACAGGTCCCAATTATTTAGATTTGTATGGAAGAAAGACATATCTCATAACCTATTTATAATTTATTCCTTCAGTTGGAAAAACCTGTTTTTTTTTTTTAACCATTATATATGTTCTTTGTTTAAAGATCAAATGATGCTAACTAAACCAGGTATGGTGGTGCATGCTTGTAATCCAGGCAACTGGGGAGGCTGAGGCAGAAAAATAGCAAGTCCAATGCCAGCCTCAGTAACTTAGCAATGACCTTTCCCAAAATAAATGAATGAATAAATAAATAAATTAATTAATTAATAAGTGAAAGGGCTGGGGATGTAGCTCAGTGGCCAAAAGAATGCCTGGGTTCAATCTCAGTACTGAAAGGGGTGGGGGGAGATGCTAACTGTAGAGTCTGTAAGTGCTATGGAGGCTGGTTTTCCAAAGGCACTGGTTTGCTTAGGCGAATGTTGGTAAATTTAGGTTTTGATCTACATATTTGTGTGTATGTGTATCAACCTCTGTAGGTTTATTACTTACACTAAAATTATATGTTTGTATTTGTTATGGTTTAGATATGAAGTGCCCCCCAAAAGCTCATGTGTGAGAAAATGCAAGAAAGTTTAGAAATGTAATGATTGTATTATTAAAGGTTTAACCTAATCAGTACATTAATCCTCTAATAGGGATTAACTGGGTGCTAACTGTAGACAGGTAGGGTGTGGCTAGAGGAGGTAAGTCATTGGGGGGGGTGCATTTGGGGTATATATTGTGTTCTTAGTGAGCAGAGCTCGCTTTCTCTCTGCTTCCTGGAGCCATGTCCTGAGCCTCCTTCCTCCACCACACTCTTCTACCATGATTTCCTACCTCACCTCTGGCCTGGAGCAATGGAATTGACAATCTATTGAATTGACTGAGACCTCTGAAACCATAAAACCCCAAATAAATTTCTCCTTCTCAAAATAATTAACACACTAACAGCATCAAAAAAGCTGACTAAAATAGTATTTGTACATACACACATATGCATAGACCCTTTTTTGATCATTTGAGTAACTAGGGATTTGGAGGCCAATGCTCAATCCAAGCATGTGGAACACCAGGTTACTTGAATTTATTCTGTATATTTATTTGACTTGTCCTAGATTTGGGTGACTAAGAACTAATGTTTTTATGTTTCCATCAAAGAATCAGAAAGTCTAGATTTTGGTTCCAAGTTGAACACTAACTATCTATGTGGTCCTCATCAAATCCTTATTATCTCTACTCTTTATTTATCTTCAAATTGAACGAGAAGATGTTTATGTATGCTTCTATTTCTAAAAGTTTATGGTTTATCAATTTACTTGGACTCTTTCCACCCCTTGAATTCTTGAGCTCAGAAGTATTTGGAATCCAGCACTCTGGAAATCCTTGGAAGAATGTAAGACAAAATAAAAAAACACTAAATAAATTTGTAGGAAGAAGCTTACTCACAGTCACAGTCTTAGCATCCATTTCAGTGAATATGAATTCTCCTCCTTCGAAGTCGTCATTCATATACAGGAGAGCACTAAAGGAGAAAGGGAGAGACATTCATAGGACAATATTCTCAAAATATCATCACTGTGGAACATGAAGACAGGTGATGATTGGGCTTCCTGATTAGTAAGTTGCCTTTGAACTAGACATCTCAATATTTGACCCACCAGACCCTTGAAGGTAAGATCAGATATAATTTGGGTTATACCTCTAAAGGATTTATTAATTCTACTTACATAAAAGTTCTAATCATATTTCAAAGCTCAGATCACATTTCACTTCCTCCAAAGAATATCTAACTAGATTTATTTTAATGGAGCCCTCTGAACCCACCCACATTGCTTCTAACTCTCTTCTTCTCTCACATACTAGTAACTACTTTTTCCTTAATTACCTGGACCCTGGCCTGCAGAGAGGGGGTGCTAAAAATTATTTTAGAATAGGAAAGTGTCGTAATAATTAACACACTATTATACACATGGGGACTACGACTCCTGATTCTTCCCTTTATAGACAAAGATATCTTTCAACATCATAAAAGAGTATTTTTTTTCTGAGTTTCTGTTTTCTTGTTTGCAAAATGTAACATAGTTCTTCAAATGTGTGAGTCATTGATAAGTGATATGAGAAGATCCCCAGGTATGCTAGGACACCATGACTTTGTGTTCTCAGACTGAGATGTACATACCCAAAAAGGGTATGCCTCAGTGAAAACACAATGATTTAAAAACAACAACAACACAACACAACATACACTCTCCTTGGTAGGAGGAAAATGTGCATGATTTTGAAGATAAAAATGAAGTTGCCACTTCTCAGCTATGGAAGCCGCTTCAGATTACTTGAGAATCTCTGCTTCGCAGAGATAAAGATGACAAGCGAAACAGAATAGCTTTCCAGTTCCCATGGATTACTGTTGGGTGGGAGCTTGGTTCTGAAGGAGTCGCAGACTTACCTATAGTCCCGGAAAGTGTAAGCAGGAGGCTCCTTCCAGCATTCGTTGGCTTCTGGATCCAACAGGCAGTTATCAGCATGGATGGGATGACTGAGGTCATTTCTTCTATCCTGTTGACCTGCCAGAAAAAGGAACAATATTGATTAACTGTCTTCTCCTGTTCCTGGTGTCCTTTGTAAATGAGAGGAGAGGAGGCACAGCAGATGAAAGGACAGTGAGCAAGCAGTCAGGAGACACTGGTCTGGTTTTGACTTGAACTTGATGTGAAACCTTGGGCAAATCACACCTGTCTCTTCAACTATAAGCACACTCTGATAGAAATATACGTGTATAAGCTCCATGCATTTCATGGGTTGTACTTCAAAAAGGATAAGGATGAAATGAAAATGAAAACAAATGATTTTGATTCAGAGGAAACTCCCCCAAGTGTTGCCTACTCCTATGGCATCTTTCCTGTGGCATTCAGGTGGGTGGAAGAGAAGATGCTCAGGAGAAATGATAATGGACATCTCTTCAATAATCTCTTTAACAAACAGCAACCATAATGTCCAGGTCCCTGGTCCCTTAGAAAGAGAAGCCTAGAGAAGAAAAGCATTTTTTCTGTATGATGTCAACAATAAAGAGAAATAGATTTGAAAATATTCAGAGAGAGAGTCTTCAGGAATTTTAGGGGACCAAAAAGGAGCAAAAGAGGGATGTAAAAAATAAGTCCTGAGTTTCCTAAGTTGCTACTGTTCCTCCTTCTTCTCTTCCTCCTTTAGAAATACAGAACTCTTCTAAAATATTAGGCTACATGAAATAGAGCTCTGTTTTACATAGTTTAAATTCCCATTGTATTGTGGGTAGAAAGGAACAAGTTCAGGCTCTGAATTCTCACCAGACAGGGCTGTTCGGCAAACCATGTGTGTATAGGAAAAATAAAGGGTTGAATTCAGCATGAAATAGGACTCTACAATCTTTCGAGCCTTCTCACTGATGTCATAAAACAGACGTGCACTCTTCAGTGGGACTCGGCCCTCATAACCAAACTGAAAAGAAAAGCAAAATAAAAACATTAGAAAGCAGTGGATTGACCAGTAGAATTAAAAAAACAGGAATTTTATTTTTCCTCAGACCTGATCTTAGAGACTCCCTATCTTAGTCTCTTCTCCCTATCCTTTGTGGAATGTTGGGGTAGGGGTTTCACAAGCTGTTAGATCCTTTAGTCACTTTAGTTGCATGTATTCATTTCAGTAATTAAAATATCTATGTCCTTAACTATGCATTTTAAATAGATACTTTAAATCTGAGCTCAGGCTTGCCTAAGGCTGGAAGCCTGCAATAGAAGAGTTTGGCAGCAGAAATTACTAAATGTCTGCAAAAAAACTTTCGCTTCTTTTTGAGATATGTTCCTTACATATGGCTCCAGCAAGGAAGCACATTCACCCATTCAGGGCCATACATGTGTATGAGACCATGTGAGTAAGTCTTGGACAGGGCAATGTGAGTGTAGGAATGTACACCCCATTAAAATTTCAACCATGATCCTTGCATTTTCTTCTCCCATCTGCTATGTAGATGGACACACCCAAAATAACTATGAAAACCACTTGAAGATGGCAAAGATCTTCAGTTTGGCCCTTGAATGATTGTGAGGACTAGTGTTTCCTTTCCTTAACTCCACATCTCTCCCAGATGATTTCATTTTATGCAAGCAAGAAATAAACTTGTTTTGAATAAGAAGAAAGAGAGAGAGAGAGCGAGAGAGCGAGAGAGCAGTAGGTCAATGGGAGGGCTTTGAAGACAATACAGGGTGGCTATATCTACACTAATTAATGGGGATACTGATGGGATTAGGGTTAGGATAAAGAGCTGCTGAAATAAGCTCTTACTAATTATAAAGGGAAAATTAAAAGCTAATTGTTTCCTTCCCTCTTCTCTCATAATACATTCTTAATTCCTCTCTAATAACACTTCTTGCTGTAAAGAATAATTACTTGTTTGGGTATGTTTTTATAACCAGATCATGAGCTCTTTGAGGACAGGGGTTTTGTGGGGGTTTTTTTGTCAGGTACAAATTTAATGTAAATGTGAAGTTTAATAAATTAATGAAGGAATGAAGGATTGATTAAAAACAATAAAGGTGTCTGGGCACGTGTAACTCAGAGGCAGAGCATGTATTTAGTATGCACCAGACCCTGGTTCAATCCTCACCACCCCAAAACAAATATAACAAAGTTTCTGCTTCATATTTGCTCCTGATTGATGTATATTCTAAACTCTTCTCTTTCCTGTGTCTGTCATTCACTAAAGCCTCTGGGTTGACACTTAGGAACCCAAACCCAAACACAGTGAGACTTTACTTTGAGCGCTTTCAGGACAGTTGCACCTTCAAACTTTTCATTGGGCGTATGGGGTGAAGTTTTTCCTCTGTAGCCATCACCAACAAGCATGATTCCCTGGAAGCAAAAGGCAAGAAGATGCTTCATAAGTGACATTGATGAATTCATCCGGTCTTTCTTTTTGCTTTGGCTGCCAGAAAGATGATAATCAAGGTGAATACTCAGAACCATCCCCATTTTATTCCAGGATACAGGCATAATTATTTTTTTCTAATCAAAAGAAATACCTGTATTTTGTCTTCTCACTACATTTCATTATACAATATTTTTCCTTTTTAGTAGAAATATATAGAAATAATAATATAAATAGAATGCAATAATCCATATATCAGTTGAGTATTGATTAAAATAAAGGGATTTCCCCCAGTGACTTTATATGCTAGGCAGGGAACATGCTGGATGGGCATTGTCCTGGGAATTAAGCCACTGGGATATTCCCATCTGCAAAAGTAAAAAATCATCAGAAGCCAAAGCTAAGAAAATCTCTCTGCAATCAGTGTCCTTCTCCTAAACAAAGTCAAAAGTCAGGCCTAAAAGTGGGACCGGACCACGGCTCCTCCAGGCTCATGACAGGCCCCTGCCCCACTCCATGCTCACACTGGCCACGCTGTGGAGCTCCCGGCACTGCTCCTCTGATAGGACATTATCCAGGAGAACCCTCTGGGTCCCGTTCAGCTGCTCTGAGTTGTAGACGAAAGTGATGTTCTCATAGAGCAGAGGGCCACCTGAAGGCACAGAGCACATTATCTTATTATCTCTCCTCAAAGAGGGAACACAGAGCACACAACAGCTTTGAGTGGACACTTTGGGACAGACAGATTACTCAGGAAGATGGAGACACAATGACTAATAACATCGTAGGAAACTCAAGAAACACAATATGAATTCAGGGAAAAGTCAGATATTTGACTGCTATATTTTCCTATAGTGTCATAATAATATATTGCATTAATATGGTATTTTGGGATAGAAAAATTACATTTGATTCCCCCATGGTCCTGAAAAGTAGATCAGGCAACTCCTAGAATTCTCCTCTGGGAAGATTCATCCTTCTCCACAGCCCCTCATTTATACCTCTGTCATATTACAGGAAATGAATTGGTCACATGTCGGTGTTGCCCAGGTATGACATGCACCACTCAGTTCACTGGCATCACAGCAATGCCTCTGCCAGGTGACCCTGGTGTCACACCAATCTTCCGCTCCTTCCCCAGCCTCTCCCATCCCCCTGCTTAACTGGTTCCAGGAGGTCTTGTATTTGTAGTAGTTGTTTTTTCTGCTTTCTGGGTAAAGTCTTGACATTGCTTTTTCTGCACAGGAGGGTTTCCTGTAGGCTGCTCTCTCCCTAGAGAAAGCCTACAACTTTAGAGAAATTAGCTCTCTAGAGCCTCTTCTGAGTGAGATTCTTTGGGGTCACATTTTAGATTGCAAAATTATAAAATCTAGACCTAACAAGGTCCTTTCCTTATAGAGTAGGAATCATTAATGGTGAAGAAATCTTCAGATGCAGCAGAGTGCAGACATTTTGAACCAGAAACTGAACAGAAAACATTGATATATATATATATATCTCCTTAAAACACTCCTGATAAGTATAAGGATATATATATATATATCTCCTTAAAACACTCCTGATAAGTATAAGGACCTGACAAGCTGATAAATACCTGAGTAAGGGCAGTTCATTCTGGAGGATGTGAGGGTGTGGAGGTGCATCTCCCCTGTCCTCCCCGAGTCTAGCAAAATAATTCCTCCCTCCTTTGTCTCTCCCTCCTCCCTTCCTCTCTTCACTCCCTCTCTCCCTTCTTTCCCTCCCATGGCAGAGAGATTCTCAGGTAGCCCTTAATGATCACTGCCTCCTGCCTTTCAGACCCTGGTGTAATTTTTTCCCACAAGTGTGGGTGGGTCTGACACCTGCTTCTCTAACCAGCCCCATGACCACATGGGGCTAAATCACACGTGTGGAGATATCAAAATTGGTGTGTGTTTCATTTCTATAAAACAGATTACTCAACCTGGGGAGTAGCACTACTTTTTTATTAGTCTAGTTAGAAAAAAATTGGGGGCTTTATCACAAAACATGATTAATAGAGCATTAAAAGAATGAGATAGTGTTTCTCAATCTTGAGTAATGTATGGTTATCTGTTACAGCCAGTGGTCCCTAAGGAGCTCCAGTGTGAACAAATTATTTTACTGTGGTTTTTTTCTACCATCTTTGTAATTATAAAACTATGTATACTGTATTTATTTTTATTATTTCATACAAGTATAATACCAAAAATTACTTACAAGATTAAATAAAAGCAAGACCATAAAGCCATCTAAATTCAAATTAACAACCCTAATAAAATGGTCAATGTTATTTCACTGAAGATAAAACAACAGATTTCACATGCATATTCTTCTAAATATTCTGGACCAGGCTCTTCTGAACCAGCATTTCTTACAACACTGTGGTGTATAATGGCATGTTCTTTCCACCACAACTTTTCTCTATAGAATCTACTTTAAAATCTTATAGTATGTGATGAATTTTGGCCTTCATCTGGCCTTAATATATTATTTAGAAGCTTATCCCCTTCATTTATTCTTAGTCCTCAATCACTGATGTATGAACAACTGGGCCAACGTGACCTTAACTGAGAAGGGAAATCTCAGGCAACACCTAGCTACAAGGTGGTCATCAGATGACCTACTCATTTCATCCCTTAATTTTTAAAATTGTCACCAAAATTTATAAATATAGAATTTCTTGGATTCTAAAAACATATTCACCAGCCCCCAGTTTCAGTATCACACATTTTGGATGAACAGAAAAATATGTTTTTCTACAATATTTTTGTGCTGACAAGTTTTTGGCCAAGTATTGTGTTAAGTAAAATTGAAAAGGATTTCCTGGAACTTTTACTGTGTGAATAAGCCCTATGGATCTCCTAAGTAGTGATGTGATATGCAGAAGATTTTAGCCTTAATGAACATAATTCCTCCCTCCTTTGCCTGTCCCTTCTCCCTTCCTCTCTTCATTCCCTCTCTCCCTTCTTTCCCTCCCATGGCAGAGAGATTATCAGATAGCCATTAATGATCACTGCCTCCTGCCTTTCAGACCCTGGTGTAATTTATTTCCCACAAGTGTGGGTGGGCCTGGCACCTGCTTCTCCAACCAGGAGAATATGACCAAGGTGATGGAATGTCACATCTTCCTTACATTATATAAGATTGCAACTTGGATCTTCAGCAGACTCAGTCCATTGCCTTCCCATGCTTTGATGTGATGCAGCAGGTGGCTGCTTTGGAGCTCACGTGGCAAGGAACTGAGGACCTCCTCCAGCTGGCATCCAATAGGAACTGAAGAACTACAGGCAACAACCCGCTAGGAACCGAATTCTGCCATCTGATTTGGAAGAAGATACTTCCCAGTCAAGTCTGGGAAGAGATCCTAGCCTTGACCACCAATATGTGACAGACTGAAGTTGATTCAGCCACACTGACCCCACACCCCTGACCCATAGCAACTGTGAGATAACAGAGCTGCTGTTAACTGCTCTATTTGGGCCTTTTTTTTTTTTAATAGCAACAAAACAAAACAAAGCATTAGCCTCCCAAAGACCCTCTTAACACAGAATACAATTTTGGTATGCTGCTCTAATCCATGTAGCTGGATTATTTGGAAAAGTGAACTGTTTGTTCACTCTAATGCAGAAATATGAAATGAAGGGCCTGGGGTTGTAGCTCAGTGGCAGAGCACTTGCCTAGCATGTGTGAGGCACTGGGTTTGATCCTCAGAATCACTTAAAAATAAATAAAATAAAATTATTGTGTCCATCTTCAACTAAAAAAAGAATTTAAAAAGAAATATGAAATGAAATGTTCCTTCAACAAGAAAGAGAAGGTATCTGTAGATTAACTGCAAAGACCTTGCTACTATAAAATTCAAATAGAAATGGAAAAAATGGAAGACACATGGGAAATTTATTGAAGTAGGTTAGATTGTATTTTGTCAAGTTTTGAGCTTTTATTTCTTTGAACACTATTAGCATATTTTTGAAGTATGATTTTTTTAAAGTTACTGAACTAAAATATTTGGAAAAAATGCCTATCATTCAAGCTCTGTATTTGTTGGTATCATCATCATCATCATCATCATCACCATGATTGATCTAGTTAACTGTGCCTGGAATATTTTGTAAAGTTCATACTGGGGCATCTTAATAAAGATTATGACATGATGGGGACTATTTCAAAGGAATGCTAGAGAGATATTAACATCCCCCAATTGGATGATAAGTAACACACACAGATTGTGTAAACAATAAGTGCAACATTGAGTCTTAAATATCTAGATCCTAAAAGATTCAGGGAGAATTTGTAATACAAACCTGCCTTTAATGTAGCTAATAAAGCTATCATGAAGCATAGAGTTTTATACAGAAATTTCCCACATATACACTTCATAAAACACTAGTTTCCCACTCACTAGCTAAAAGAAAAAAAAACAAATCTTGCCATTCATAAGGCAGGTTAACCAGCCTGCAGATGACTAGTAGCACACCAGACAGAGGATAACATTAAAATTAAAACATAGTCCAATAGGTTGTGGTTCCTGTGGCCTGACTTGATGGTTTCAGCCAGCTCCTAACCACAGCTCCAGGATATTTAGTTAAATAACTTAATTCTTCTCTCATTCATAAAGTATGTGCCTGGCTCTGATTCTCTGCTTGCAACAAAGAGATTATCTAGGAAAGTACTCCTTTGTGTTCACTCTGTGGCTCACAGTAAGAAAAATCATTTTCCATAAATATCACAATGTCACACAAGGTATTGATGGGGTACATAAGTTAATGAGCCCTTATATGAGTACAGCCCTTTACAGTTTACAAAAGACTTTCACACCTCAAAAATGATGCCACACTTCCTTCACGGATCAGGATAAAGGGGCTCAGGAGTTTGACTCTAGTTTTCCATTAGCACACAGCACATTAGAATAAGATATCGGCAAAAACTAAGCCTTCTGATTCCAAGTTCAAAGTCATTTCATTTCTACGATATTCCCAATGACTATTGCAAAGCTGGTGGTTATAAGCAGAATGAACAAGGGGAAAAAAGTCCTTAGTAAGTTACCTTGCATGTTCTATGGACAGAATGTGGCCCCTGGTGATTCCCATTTAATGCTTAGGAGACGTCCACTAGGAATACAACTAGATACAAGTGAGAAGCCTGAGGAAATAATGATATCTTTGTGGAAGATGAGAAAAGTTGAAATATAATTTGTGGCACTTGCATATTTTCTTGCCTCCTTAACATCTTCTTCCAGCCTAAGTGTTTTCTGTTTTTTAGCTAGAACAACTCATAGATCTCAGGGAATCTCTCACATTTACCAGCTTAATATGAAGAACTTTATGAAGGAGACAAATGAACAGTGAGGTACAGAGGTGAAGAGAACCAGGGAGTGGGAGGGAGAAAACAGAGCTTCCTTGCCCTCTTGGGGGAATTGCCTCCCAGCATCTCCACCCGTTCATTACCAGGAAGCACATTTGCCTCTGTCTTCCACTGCTCTTAATGTACATCATATTTAGATGCTTGATCACTGAACAGAAGTTGCAGTATAATAAGAAATGTATGTGTTCTTATTGTCCGTAGTTCCTAGTTCACAACTTCTAACACCCATTTGATTTACTAATGATAGAAGAGTCTTTTTTACTTGTAAGCTTTTCTGCAGGGGAGAAGGATGAGCATTGAACCCAAGGATGCTTAACTATTGAGCACCATCCCCAGTCCTTTTTGGTTTTAATTTTGAGACAGGGTTTAAGTCTCTTAGGGCTTCACTAAGTTGCTGAGGCTGGCCTCTAATGTGTGATCTCCTGCTTAACCTTCCAAGTCACTGGGATTACAGTTGTGCACCATCAAGCCTGGCTGTAATAAAGCCTTTTTTGACTACACCTGAGTCTATGCTTATGAAGTCACTTCAGGTGTAGTCCCTGGATGGACTAAAGATGGGACTAGTCATCAGAAAGACCAAGTGATGAGGAGGGTAGAACTTGCAGTCTCAATGTGGACCTCTGGGAAGGGAGCTGAAGGGCTGGAAATTCAGCTCCCTAAAAGTTCTCTTACAACAAGGGGTAATGAGCTTCTTGGTAATGAACATGTGGAGATGCTGGGAGGCAATTCCCCCAAGAGGGCAAGGAAGCTCTGTATTTTTCCACTCCCTAGTTTTAATCACCTCTGCATCTCACTGTTCATTCGTCTCCTTTATAAAGTTCTTCATATTAAACTGGTAAACGTGAGGGATTCCCTGAGATCCATGAATTGTTCTAGCTAATTAATCAAGCTCAAAGAGGGGGTCATAAGCCACATATGTAGCTGGTCAGTAGGAAACTCAGAAGTATAAGTGACAACCGGCTATTGCCATTGGTGTTTGAAGTGGGGCAATCTTGTGGGGCTAAGCCCTCAACCTGTGGGACCTGACACTCTCCAGGTGGAGAACATCAGAATTGAATTGAATTTGAGAACATCAAGTTGGTATGTATCCCTTAGAGAACTGCTTGGGGTGCAGGGAGAAAATCCCACGTATCTGGTCACAAACATGTTTGTATTGGGTATGAGAACAGAGTAGGAATTTTATTTTTTTTCCTTTCAGACCTGTAGGTTCTCAAAGAATATCCTAAGATCCATTCTCCAATTCAACCAAAAACAAATAAAAAACAAACGAAACAAAACAAACAAACAAAAAGAGATGGTAGACTTTGGTAACCCAATCAATCAATCATCACATGTAGTCAGTCCTATGTTCCACTTTTCCCATTAAGCTTCCTAGTCAGTAGTTACGTTACTGAACATCAGATTCCCTCCTGGTAGCAAAGTTTTTTTTTGTCTTGTTTTGTTTTTTTAAAAAAAGTTTTGAACTTTGGCAACTGCTCTTGAGTTTCCTAAACATTTACAGCAAAGTGCGGGCCTATTGGCATGTACTTCCTAGGTGATTTCTCAGCTTAAAAGGCAACATGAACTCTGACTGACCGTGAAGCTTTCTGGCAATTGTAAAACAGCTTGGGGTTTGTGGCTACAAACTAAGGTCTAGGTCACAGATGAGCATATTATCCTGTTTACTGCTTCAAACTGACTTGGAAGCTAAGGAAGAAAAGAACTAGGAATTGTAAGAGTATAGAGAGCTAGACATTTTTAAATCAGCTAGAGGAATGTGCTGAAAAGCTCTCGTTGGGAAAGAAATACAGTTCTCAATGCAGGTTTTTGAAAGCCTCTTCTTATCTACAACTGTAGTTGGCCCTCCATATGTATGGTCCTGCAGCTATGGATTCACCACCTTAGATTGAAAATAGTTGGAAAAAAAGACTGTACTGGATATGTACAGCTTTTATTCTGTCATAACACAGTATGACACCAATTTACATAGCATTTACTTGTATTAGGTATGGCAAGCAATTTACACATATAATTTAAAGTATAAAGGAAGCTGAACATAGGTTATATTCAAATAGTAAGACATTATATAAAAGGGATTGAGAATAATTGGATTCTGGTATCCTTGGTGGTGGGGGAGGGGTCCTAAAACCAATTCCAGGTGGTCACCCAGGGATAACTGTATTTAATCAAAAGTTATGCTTTTCCATAGTGGGGGGTGGGGTAGGGAAGAATGAAAGCACTTTGGATTGTGCAGAGGGGAGTGAGGGGAGAGATGGGGTGGTGGGGATGGGTAGGATGGTAGAATGAAACAGACATTATTACCCTATATACATGTATGATTACACTACTGGTGTGACTCAGCATCGTGTACAGCCAGAGGAATGAGAAGTTAAGCTCCATTTGTGTAAATGTGTCAAAATGCATTCTACTGTCATGTATAACTAATTAGAACAAATTTTTAAAAAATCAAAGGGAGATCATGGGAAGAGAAGAATGAGAATGGGGGAAGGGAGAAGGAGAAGAAAAGGGGAAGTGCTTGGGAATAATACTGGCCAAATCATATTGTTACAGTGTGTGCATGTATAAATAGATAACAATAAATCCCACCATTATGTACAACCATAATGCACCAATAAAAATATGGGAAAACAAAAACAAAAAAAAGGTTATGCTTTGGAATACACATTGCTATGTTGCATGCAGAAAGTTAAGAAGAAAAACTGGGAATTGGATTCCAAAGTCTGGGTTCAGATGCCTGCCCAACATGTTATGAGCTGTGAGACTTTGGAGAAGTTACCAAACCCCTTCACATGAGAGACTGCTACTATTAAAATGAATTGTGTGTAAATTTGCTTGAAATATTATAAAACACAGAAATGAAAAATTGATAAGAATGAGTACTTCTATTAGTACTATATTACTCATAGTTTTTTATTATTATAACAATATTTGGCTCTATTTAAAAACTACTTTTGGCAACTCTCTAGTTGTGATTCCACTAATTTTAATCTTACATGACTAGACATATAATATTCTACTCTCCCATCTCTGTACCTTTGCTCTATTTGTTTTGTAGACTAGAATGGCTCTCTCCACACCCTGTCAATTCAATCTGAAGTCTGTTTTTGAGCTGGGATGTACAGCTCAAGGTAGAGTGCTTGCCTAGCAGGCCAAAGGCTCTGGGTTGGATTCCCAGCCTGGCAAGAAATTTAAAAAATAAATAAACTGTACTTTCTCTCAAAGCACTTCTCAGCTCTGTCTTCAAGTTTTTTAGATGAACTAACTATATCCCATATGACCTTTCCCACATTATCTAGCATTCATTAGCTGACTATATATGACAGAGCTAAGTTCTGTGGCCTCACTAAGCCTCAGGTATTCAACTCAGGAAGGAGATGAACACACTGTCCCTGTCTAACTCACAGGATTATTGTAGGGGGAAAAAAACAATGGGCAAGTGAATTTGAAGCACATTTTTAATAATATACAAATCTGAGTCATTCTTGTTTTTAAGCATTGCTTTCAGGCTTTTATGAACTCTAGTAATTTAGTCCTAAACTTAATTTTCCAGAGAAAGTGGATTCTGCATTAATCTAGATAAGAATGGTTCACACATTACCCTCTTCCTCCCCTCCTTTAAAAGTGAAAGCCAATGGGAACTTACCTTCTCTTAGATCTCGATCTATCTTGGGCGATGACTTTTTCCCCATTGATAATCCATGAACTTCTGCCCCCTCTACATTCACTCCTGAAGGGACCCTGTCCATTCAAAAAAAGTTGCAATGAAATTTTCCACTGAGTAAAGATGTTCAAAAGAAAAGATAGTATACTGAAGAATTCTATGGTTCTTATTACATATTTCTGTTTTACATAAGTCCACTTGTCTTTTAAAATCAAACTTTACATGTCCCTGCCTCTATGAGGTTCTTCTCTATTTCTTCAATGAATATGTTCCACTTCACTCCTGTGAATCTTTTTTGCAAGCTTCATTACAATTAAATGTATCTATAACTTAACCTCCTTCAGATGACAGCATAGTTCCAATGGAGCAAGAAAAAGTTATCATATGAATCTTTTTAATGCTCAGAATATTGTGCCTTGAACATGGACTGCATCACTGAATGATTGAATTGGAATAAATTATATTCTAATGTTCTAGTTCTGTACTATTCTGAGAAAGAAGACTTATGTTTGTGTCATACTTTGCAAACACACAAATGAGAGTTAGCTGCCTTTATAACACATAGGAACTGGAGAAATCCAAATTGCACATAATATTCTTAGATTTCTTGCAATAATCTTACACTAATTAAGAGCCGAGTCCTTAAAATCAAGTGAAAGACCTCAAGATTCTGAGTAAGACCTGGGTCTGCAAATCCCTTGAAACTCTAAGTTTAAAGTGCCTTCCCTTCACATAGCCTGTTCCCCAGTTTGAAAGTGAACAGATTGGACCATGTAATCTCAAATGGGTAACTTAAAATACATCAAGAGTTTAAGTTATTCAAACATGCAATAAGAAAATTTCATTTTCTTTTCTATTAATAAATAAAAAATATCATTAACTTTTACCTGATTTGGAATCACAGAATGTCAGCACTCAAATTGCTGGATTCAATTTTTTTTTTTTTTTAAGGAAAAGTCATGAGACCCAGTGAGAAAGATATTTACTTACAGTCATACATACAAAGGTATGACCTTCCATACTGGAAAAGCTGGAACCAGGATACAGAGCTCTTAATTTGTAGCTTTTAAAACTCTTAATTATCTTTTTAATAAGTGCTAAGTTCCTTATATTATATTTTGACTATAAGTGTTCCTTCTCATTAAAAAGAAATAGTTCATACTTTGAATGAAAGACTTACCTATTCTCATCCTGTCGTCCTCCATATCTGATCCAATAATTCTGTTTTAAATTAAGCAAAAAATTGTATTTGTTACTAAAATATCATTTGAAAAATAAAATTTAAAACATATTTAAAATATTCAAAAGACCTAAATTATCAAGAAACTTATACTTTACATAAAATACAACTTATTTTTATTTAAAAAATTAATAAAAAGGCAGGCTAATGTTGATGAAATTTTGGCAAAATGAAACCCAAATGGATTTAAAAATAGTATGGAATTAGCTCATTTTCTGTCCCAGAAAATGACTTGGAATTTGGTGTCAGAAAGAAGTTTGCAATATTGTTCAGTCTAACTATTCTATATTGTAAGAATAAAACAAATAGATGAAAGAAGTCAAACTTGACAAAATATCTGTGCAAGACTATAAAGGGAGTAAATGCAGTTTTCTGGTGTCTCTTGAGCTAACACAAATTTGAAAAATAATAAATGGGAATGTGAATGTATTTGAAGCATTACAATAAAAATATTACCTTAAATTAACCTAACTTTAAAAGCATACCAATAAAAACATTTCAAACCAATAAAAACTAAAAAAATGCTGCAAATAAAATATACTACAAATAATAATTGATAGGCATATAATTTCATAAGCATATATAAAGAATATATTAGTGACCAATAGTGAACAAAGTCCATGTCCAGGTAATTCAAAGGCAAGTAATAATACTGAAAAGGGTTATTCTTGCTGTTCATTGAAAATATACAAGTTAAAATGACAATGATGTATTATTATTTTCTACATAATACATGAATAATACAGGTGATTTCAAAATATTATTTCTTGGTACTGAGAAGTTTGTAGTAAACCAATACTTTAACTGGGAGCAGTAAAGGTATCAGAAAATTCTTTTAGAAAAGTAATTTCATTTTGAGTACTTTACAACCTCATGGTTTGATGGCAAAGTAATTGTGCTCCTAGAAATCTATTCTATGGTTATAGTTTAATAGAGACACAAATGCTTAACATTAAGTATGTGAGAAACAATTCAAATATCCAGAAGCATGACAAGGGTTCATTACTTATTTTCCACCAGTTATATATATAATTTTAAAAGCTATAGAAATTGCTTATGATATTTTCTCAAATAGAAATCAGAACACAGACTATCTACACCATAGCTTTAGCTCTGCAAATGGTGTGTATTTGCATGAACAATTTAGAAGATAGCTTGGGAAATGAAGAAAGACAGCATAAAGAGTTGGCCCAATGCTGTTGTTTCTGAAGCCTTTTTAATGTTTACATTAAACTCAGGGATACTTAACCACTAAACCACATCCCCAGACCTGTTTTGTATTTTAGTTAGAGACAGGGTCTCTCTGAGTTGCTTAGCGCCTTGCTAAATTGCTAAGACTGGATTTGAACTACTGATCCTCCTGCCTCCGCCTCCTTAGCAGCTGGAATTATAGGAATGTGCCACTGTGCCTGGCTGCATTGAAATTTTTCAAAAAAATAAATCAATCCTGAGGCAAATGAATCATGTACAAAATACTTCTTTCCAATATTTGCTTTTGACTTTGGTCCTGGGTGCTATGGAAATAGGTCAGTCTTTTAAAGTTCATCACATATACTGAGTATAGATTCCACTCCTACCCCAATATTAACTCAAGGAGGGCACTATTAGATCCTCATCAAGTGAGGATGGGGAACAAAAAATACTAAATTCTTATTATTTGTGAATAAGAATTCCACCGACAAGTTCTTTAATAGACATTTCCTTTTTTCACTTTGCCCTTACTGGTTCAGTGTATGAAAATCCCAGTCCCTCTGCAGCTGATTTTATCAGTTCAGATTCAAGTTTATGTCGTTTCACAAACATAATTAAGTCCTAGAGGGAAAAAAAAGAAAGAAAATTTATATTTAAATAACAGCTAAGAGCTATGATAAATGTTTGAGTGAATACTTTTCGTTACACAATGACAAATGAACTAACAGAAATATTCAGAGTCTGGGGGGGAAGGGGGAAGTCCCCATGCCACAGTTTTTCAAGTTAGCATGTATGAGAAAAATGTGCTTCTGGCATGAATGAAGCCTGAAAGAATTAAGTTCTAGGACCTTTCCTAAATCGTTCAGTATCTTTAAGAGCAGTGGTACATTTATCAACTCTCCCCAGAGCACATGGCAGAATAAAGAGCTTTTTCTCAGATCATTGGTCTCACCTCTCTGGCCTCAATGGATTCTGGGTCAATGCTGTCATCTAATAGACTCTCATAGTAATCCACATTGTCTTGGACATCCTCATCATCTGGGTGGAACAGGAGGTAGGCCTTGGCACACTCCAAGGCCTTCACATACTCACCAACTGAAAGGTCAAGGACATGTAGCATTAGAGTTAGCCTAAGTCTTCCCAGAGGATTTTAAAAAGAAACTTCAACTTTCCAATCAAAGTCAACATCAATCATCAATAAGAGAGAAGACAAATTGAGCAGAGTAGGCAGAAATACAGATAAAGGAAAGACATGGATTCACATACTCAAAAGGGATTATGTTTAGTCTGATTGGGTGCTAGACATTTTGCATAGATTATCAAAAGTTTCTATACAAAGTTGCTCATTAATAACTTATTTAATACAAACAGCAGAATTGGAGAAATTAATTCTTATTTCTGTACTGAGTTTGGGTTAAGTATGATCTTCTACCACAGTGATGTACTATTTTATTCATAATGTATGAGAAATATAAGTAATTTCAAAATGCTGTAACATTTGGGGTAAAGTGCTGCTTCCACAGAAAGACTCACAGAACCCCAGATGTTCTGGAGGACTTCTCTCCAACCCCTCACCACATAACATCAGCTTCAACAGTGGCCAAGTATGAAAAGCAACAATTAATAATGTTTCAACTACAAACTCTTCATTATAGAAACATTTACCTATTATAGAAGAAATATTTAGAAATATTTAACCATCACAAACAAAATTTTGAAATGCTGTACATCATGTTTTTAGGTCACAACACTTCAATATCTTTTAAAAGAAATCATATACACACATATTTTCAGAGATTGCTTTGATTTTTTAGTAAGAATGATAACATTAAGCAATTCTCTCAACTCCTTTGCAGTCACTGCTAATGACTTGAGCACATGATTTATTATCTGCCATCAGTGCCAGGACAATGAGTAATGTTTTGCTTTTGGAAAGTGAGAGGCTTTGCCAAAGTAGCTTAAAAATGTTGATTTTCCAAAGTAGCGTTAAAATATTGGCTTGAGTCTTTTTCTTCTTATTTTAGAAGGGAAATACTTTCTTTACTAGTGACTTCTCTAAAAGGCACAAATACTGGTGACAGTGAGAAGAGCAACTAGGAATTATGACATGTCACTAAGAGAAGTGACTTCAAGACAATCACTTCCCTACAAAATGAAGATGCTAGACAATGTGGCACCAAAGACCAATTTCAGCAATCTCAATTCTATTAACTGCTCTAAAGCACAATAAAGGATGCTCAGTATCTCTTTCTCAATAAAATAAAGGGAAAGTAAAACTATATTGAGATTTCATTTTTCATTTAATGGCCTGGGGAACATCTAAAAATTGATAATATATTCTGATGATGAGCAATGGAAAATGCACTCCATCTGGAGGAAAATTTGGCAACATCTGTCATAACTACAACCAATAAATCATTTAACCCATCAATTGAATTTCCAGACATGATCTTACAGATAGATACCTGTGGTCAGATGTGCAATGACATACATAAAATGCTCTTCACTTGAAAGTACATGCATTAGCAACAGATCACTACCAACACAAATGCCCATTAATAAGCTGACACTAAAATAAATTAGTTCAATGACATGTAGATATGAATAAAAATGGATGAGAAAGATCTCCACATACTGATACATTTATGCTAAACCCTAAAAACTTGCAAATATTTAGCCGTTTGGCTAACAAAATGGTGATTTCATAGTCTAACCTGCTAAAAAAATCTGACATGCATTAAGTGAAGAAACAGTGGGGGAATAGTATAAATAATATGTTGTCTTCTGTGTAAAAGTAAGAAGAAGGAGAAACATTTTCTGTGAGTGTACATTAATTTTTACATACAAAATTTGGAAGTATAGATAAGAAACAAGGTTGATGGCCATGAAACTGGGTGGTGGAGACATGGAGGAGAAGGAGGATTTATAATATTTGGGTCTGCAAGTTATAGGAATGTATTACTATTAAAATTAAGCTCCAAGAATTAAGTTTAAAAATCATATAGTGTCAGCCTAGGTATAATTTTCAGGAAATTATCACAGTATTAGATTCTGTACTGTGCCTATTTTATGGTGTCACCTTCTGCTCTTCTTGTCCCAAGCAGTGATATGAGATGAGGGAAAATTGTATAAATTCCATACTTTGGTGATAAAGAAAGCAGAGGACTAAACCATGAAAATGTAGTGTCTGCAATGATGAAAAGCGACCCCCCAAAGTCCTCACAGATAATCCATGCTTTACCTCGGTAGTAGGCAAACTGTAGGTAGTCATAATGCAGAGGAAGGAAGTTCTCAATGGGCGAGAGGCGGCCAGGGCGGGTGGCAAGCTCCCTCACACACTCATGCTGGCAAACCAGCACCTGCATGTAGTGATCTGGAAGACAAGAACCAAAGGTATGTCCTGCTGTCTGCTGATAGCCAGGTGTTGTTACAGCTGCAGTTCCAAGGGGGCATTCCTTACCTCCCACACTGCCAGAGAAAAGTGCCTATCATCAGCACTTTGTGATGGTTGAAGCTTCTCACCAAGACAGTGACTTGCCCTGGTCTCTTCACCATTACTCAACAGTGGTAGGTTCCAAACGCTCTGGCTCATGGCCTTTTTGTATGTTGTACCCTTCCTTTCCCATGTATCCCTTTCTTTATCCCCTTTGAATGTGACAGCCATTTCACCCCATCCACATCCAGCTGCATGTAGACTTTATTATTTAACAACTCTGACACTTCTCTTTGGATGTCCTAAGCATCCTGGAATGAGGGTTGTAAGTTCAAATTCTAGTGATATGAAGGAACTGTTCAGAGAATGAGGCCACTGTGTCGATTTAGAGTTTAAGCAGAGAAATGAAACAAAAAAGCTCCCCTTCCCTGAGCAGAGTAGGCAGAAATACAGATAAAGGAAATGTTTTCAAGCCAAATTTGCCTAAGGAGGAAATAAAAAATAAAATAAATAATAAAAATATTATTTATTATTCTTGACATCTATTGATGAAGACTCTATCCAGTTATAAATTAGCCCATCACCTGGACATTGTATATTCTTTACCAGGAACTGGTTAAGTAGGGGAAAGGTTGAAAGCTAAAGAATTCAGGTAAACATTTTTCCTCTTTCTCCTTCCTCCCTCTTCTATGGCTCGCATTCTTCCCTCTTGCCCAGAATTTGATTTTGACAATGAAGACAGAGGCAGTCTTTTCCAGAAAGAATAGTCCGTTCATGTTGGGCTGAGCAGGTTGCCTTGAGGAGGATGATAGAATCTATTTGACTATGGTTGTCCAACTTAATTTACCCAAACTGCCTTCTTTCAACAGGTTTTCTGTTTAGTCAGAGCTCAGCTTAGCTGGATGATCTTGCAGAGGGATCTCAGAACACAATAGGAAGGAAACATGCATTTTCTGGTATGGGGGAAACAGTGCCAGGTTCACAGGAGCTGGCTAACTCACTCCTAGGGGCACAGTTAGAATCCCTGAAGTCTACTGGCCCCAGCTGGGCCATGTGAGAGGAAGAGTGAGTTCCATTTATTTGATTAGCTAGTTAGAAATAAACAGCTAGTTATTTTATTTCTCAAAGGAACAACAACAAATAACCTTCAGCTGTCTTCTACTTAACCGCTTACATTCCTCTTTACCTTCTAATATACATTTTCCCTATTCCAAATGACAAGCAAAATAAAACGATGGAAAACACATGCACCATGAAATGATTTTCTGAATTAAAATATTTTTCAAAGCTGGATATAAACAGCAACAAAAGGGACAAAATGATATCCTTCAGGGTTATTCATCAATAACTGCATTCAGCAGCCATTTGTATTTTTCTCCAACTTTTAATGTCTCTTCTAACTCTAAAATACAAACATTATGGCTTTCTAATACAGTCTGTATTTTAAATGCCAGTTTTACTCCTAATTTAGGACACTTTTGAACCAGACAACAATTTACATAGTGAGAGTTGTCATATTTCTTTTTATGAGTTGTATTCCTTGCCTGTGTTCTGCTTGAATGTCATTGTGCAATTAATATGTTTTTAATAAGCATGCGATCCAAGACACTTGTGTGGGAATACTTTAAAAATGTTCCTTCTCATAATAAACTGGATATGCTTCAAATTCCCAAGAAGATTTACCATATTTCTGAAATTGACAATATTTGGTTTGACTCTTTTTTATTGCTTTTCTTTATTGGAAGTTGTGGTGGTGGCAGAGGTAGTTGTATTAAAAACCTGAGTTAGAAGACCTGTATTCTTTTCCAGTAAACCATGTGCTGTGGTAATGACCTTGAGCAAATCACCAAATGCTGATCTATGGGAAATAGTCAGTTTCCTAAACCAGATCTCGGATGTTTGCCAACACTTTTCCTTGGGCATTCACAGAGGCAGGTTTAGAGCTGAATGTGGGGGTGGAGACTGAGCACATATTTCCACAATATCACAACATAGCAAACTATAATAAAAGAAAAGCCTGCCTATTTCCCCCCTCCAAAAAAAAATAAGTACAGAGAAATACTTGAAATTAAAATGTAAAACACACAAAAAACTGACATTGAATTGAGCAATGCTCACAATACTGCAGGCAAATGGATCTCCCAGAAGCCCAGGGAAACAAAACTTTGGGGAACAAATCCTCAATAATTCATGGGTTTATTGATTTTAGGTGAACTGAGCTGATTTTGAGTAATAGGGAAAAATTAAATGTAATTTTGAGTCTACTAAATATATGGATTCTAGTCTATATTTTGGTAGCTATACCCTAATTGTCCCTTTAAAATCCTTAACGATTTATGACCTACATTCTCACAAACATGGAAGATTGTTAACCAGTTAGTCTGCAGTATTGTTAGTTATCTGTCATTCTAATTCATTCATTCATCCACCTATTCATTTAGCCAATATTTACTAAGTACCTACTGTCTGCCAGTCATTATGCTTAGGTACTGAGGACTGAGCACTGAAATAGAACTTATTAGACAAATGACACAGGAAAACAACATTCTGAAGGTCTTTAAGTAAAAATAAACATGATATACCCAAGGAATTAAAGGTGCAGTAAGCATCAATCAAAGAGAAGTTGGGGAACTGGTGGATGAGAACATATATATGAAAGTCCTCGAAGGTTTGGCTTTTATTCCAAGTGGAATATAAACCATTGGTGGTAGTGATGGTGAGGTTTAAGTAGGTCTGTGAGTACAGAATTTTGTGTCTCTAAAACACAAAATTATCTGTCTCTGTTTAGTGTCAAACCTGAACTATACACTAGAAGCAGTAAGGAGGCAGTCATGATAGTTTAGTTAAAATATATAGGGGGTTAGCAAAAGGGATGCAGAGAGCCAGAAAATCCTAAGTGCTACTGGGAGGTAGTGTCTATTGAAGTTTTGTAACAAATCAGATAGATGAAAGGAGGAGTTGAGAACGATGTGGGCCTGAAAGATAACTTCCTGGGACTTGGCTTCAGTTACTGGTTAGGTGCTTTCTTAGAGAACACTAGAAGTTGGAGAAAACAAACTGATTTCAATAATTTGCATTTCTATGAAACTGAACACTATTTTCATATATGTGTAACTTGGAACACAATACAGACTCAACAAATGTTTGTCAAACAGCTGTTGAATAAATTACTTTTTTCATTTTTCAGTTATCTAGACTTTGACAATATGCTCTCTAGATTCAGAAAAGCCTGGATTTGATATCCAGCATCATTTTATTTGCGTTGCTTAATCTTACTGAGGGATAAATTCCTCATTTAAAAAAGGGAGAGGAGTCTCTTCAATGAGGTGATAAAGTGACTGCCACAAAGATGCAGATAATTGTGAAAATGCTGATGGGCAGCCCTTTTGTAGTCCAGCCTAGTGACACCACCAAAAATGTCAAAGCCAAAAGCCAAGCCCTAAGAGCATCCCACTTGACCAGCAGCATCTGATGCCTGCAGACTGAGGGAGGATGGCTGTACTCTCTGGGACTTCACACCCAGCGTCCACCCTGCACCTGCTGCTTTGCCTACACAGTAGCAGCACCCACCATTCCCTGCATCAGCTTGCCTAGAAACCAATGCAACAAGACAGCTGCTGTAGGTGTCATGCTCCTTTGAACCCCACACTGTCAATTCCTACAAAAAAAAAAAAAAAAAAAGGCCACAGCAGCATACTCCACTCCACGAAGCAGCCAAATAAGGCCCCTCCATGGGCTTCTCCTTCCCTCAGAGGGTAGCCTCCTGCCCAAGCCCCATGGCCCTGGGGCCTCAATAAATTCCCTTTTCATTTGACTGAAGCAGTACAAACAAACAAACACAAAATGGACATGGTGAGGGGGGTAAATAACTACATAGTATCTGCCTACAGAATTGTAAAGAACTTTGTGTTATAATTGCTACGTTAAGTGTTAGCTTCTCTCTCTGCTAATAAATTACCACTAGTAATAATACTAGTGATGATAACTTATATGCTCTCTTTAAATATAGCCTTTAAATATGAAGGATATTAACTCCATCTATAAAACATTTTGCAATATTTTCCAGTTGTCTTTTGTAGATCAACTAATTTATTGTATAAGTTCATATTGATGGGTCTTAGGTAAAAAGTCTTTTTCTTGATTTATCTTGTCTTTTGTCATGCTTAGAAGAGTTTTTCCTCTCCCAACATAACACAAATCTCTTACATCTATTCTAACAATTTTGCTTTTTATAATTATATTGTTAATACAAATAAAATTTATTTTCATGCATGGTATACAGCAGGGAACTAACTCTCCTGGCCCGCAAATGCTTAATTAGCTAATATCAGCAGTTACTGTATATTGACCATTACCTACTATTTTAAATACCATTCTCATATATAGTAAATTATTCTTTTAAGTAATTGAAAAATACTATACCAAAGTGTTTATTACTACATTGTTTATAAAAATTAAACCCTGTAATAATTTTAATATTCATCAGTAAGATTGGTCAAATAAGTTATGACAACACAACATAATGGAATATTACCTAGTCATTAAATACAATCAGGTGAATATTATATACTTACATTAGAAGAAGTCCACAATTAATTGTTAAGCACAAATAAAACAAAAATATGTTGAAAGGCAGTACTTATACTATTTCCCTGTTTCTATAAAAATGCAATAATAATTATAGACACATAAATATCTGCAAATCAACTGGAAAATGTTAACTGCACAAATAATCAAGGGGAGATAGGATGGGATTGACATATGAGAGTCTTTCATTTTTTAGAATATATACTTCTAAATTGTTGCAATTCTTTTACAAAATGCATGTAGTATTTTTGTAATGACAAAATAAATAAAAAGAAAAAATAAGCTTTACCTGCAATAGTTTCATAAAGACCCCCTTTATGCCCTAAGTACTCATACTCTTCAAATCTCTGAGGCCCTTCGCATAAAGTTCTGCACTCCGCATCTTCACTGAAATATTCTCGTAAAGCTCGTTCAAAGTACTTGATAGCCACTTCAAAATCATCAGCCTCATAGTGTTTAACGCCTGCACTGTAGCTCTCCTGCAAATACACAGAAAAAAACATATTTTCAAAGAGCAGCATGCAAGCAGCCTCAGGATCATGTAGGAAGGTGGGGTGTGGAGCTCACATGTGCTGCAGAGAGATAAAACAGTATTACACCTGGAGCCCAGACTGTAACCTCCCTGGATTCGAATAATTGTAAATGAGAGAGGACTGAATGAGCAAGTAGGCTGCTCTGGTACTAGTAATTTCATTCTTCTCCTGAGCACACATTAAGATTTTAATTTCTAGTCCCTTTGCCGTGGGTAGGGGCATAGAACAAGTGCAGGACAGCAGATGTGGATGGAAATAACACCCACTTGCAGGCCTTGCCCAATTGAAGAACAACAACTAAAAGTAGTCTTCCATCTAAAATCTTTCTCTCTCATCCTTCACTGCAATGATTTTAGAGGCCCTTGAGAATGGTCATGACAAAAAATGGGGGGAAAAAGTCCTTCTAACATGGGATTCCAAATAACATTTCAGAAAAAAAGAATTGTGTGGCTCTTTAAAACCCCAATTTGTTTTTTTTTTTTGCAATTGCCACTATTTAATTCCACAACATTTTCATCTATCCCAAAGAAACCTCATATTCATTAATTATCACAATCTTTTCACCTTCCTCTCAGCTCTTTCTAACCACTGATTTACTTTCTGCTTATATGGAATGGCCTATTCTCAACAATTCATTAAAAAATGGAATCATACAATATATAGCCTTTTGCATCTGGTTCTTTTGATGTAGCACAGTATTTTCAAAGTTTATCCATATTATAGCAAAAGCAAGTACTCATTCCTTTTTAAGTCTGAGTGTGTTCCACTGTGCGGATATAGCATATTTTGTTTGCCCATTTATCAATTAATAAACATCTGGGCTGCTTTTACATTTCAACAATTACATACAATGCTGCTATTTGTTAATTAATCAATTTATGTATTGATTTTTGGTGTTGAACCCAGGGGTACTTTATCATTGAACACTTGAATCAAAGTGTGAAATATGATATGTCAAGAACTATATAATGTTTTGAATAACCAACAATAAAAATTTGAAAAAATAAAATAAAATAAAAAAATAAAAGGGCTGAGGATGTACTTAAAACCCCAATTTGAAAAGTACAGGTACCATGGGCAAACCTGTGACCCAAGAACCCGGGAGTCATGATGTGACCTGCTCCTGTGACAAAGCTCCTAAGTATGAAGTGTGTTGGAAGCAGGGCATAGTGGTATGTGCCTGTAGTCTCAGCTACTCAGGACACTGAGGCAGAAGGATTATTTGGACCCAGGAGTTCAAGAGCAGCCTGAGAAATGAAAGTAAACCATGTCTCAAAAAAAAAAAAAAAAATAGTGTTGGAGAGGAGCTGAGGGTTACAGATACTTGTATGATGTTCTGGGTTTCCCAACACACTGATTCGCTAAGTTAATTTTTATTTCCCTCAATTTTTAATATTTTTAAAATTTAATTAAAAACTTAAATATTTTCTTGATTTTTTTTGGTCTGTGATAATTATAATATTTCATCTGAGGACTCTGAAAATAAAAACACGACTGGAAATTGAGACTCAAATTGAGATATCCATTCACATGAATCTGGTTTGGGTCAAATGAAACTCAGGAGCACACAGCTCCGTGGGGCATGAGGCAGGTGTCCTTAGAACTCACAAGGTGAGGTTTGGCTTCTCGGTCTATCAGCTGGAACTCTTCCACACCAGCCATCATTCTGTAATTCTCAATGTTCTGTTGCATTTCCATGTGCTCGGGATTGGCCATGAAGAAAGTGTGAGCAGCTTCCACTGCTTTTTGCAACTGGTTAAGCTGTAGAGGGAAAGGAAGGAACAAATGAAGGCAAACGTGTCTAAGCTGGGCTCACAGAAATAAAAACATTAATTCAAGGTCTTGTAGAGTGAAAGTGGTAAGGCCAGGATTCCAGTTCATAGTCATTACTTACACATATTTTTTCTACTATACTATATCTAACATCCACACTTAAATGTCAGGAAGTTGATAGTGTTCCCAAAATAATATGTGGATATTTTGACATTGGTGAAAATGAATACATATGCTTTGTTCCACATTAATCTCCTTCCTCGATTTTCTTAGCCACCTATGTTTTCAGGAAACAAAACCTATGTGATTATGTTAGCTTTATAATTAATTAAATAGAAAAAAAGCTCCCCAGGGCTGTATATTCATTTTCAATATTTTTGTCTTATACTTTCTCCTCTTTGATTTTGCCCATTTTTCCCATGAATCCTGAAACTCAGAGGACAAATACTCTTTACATTTTCCAAAGGATGGAAGTAGGAAACCTATCCTTCCGTCAAATATGTCCTCGGGTTTCAGACAGTGATGAATTAAAAGTGAAGGAGTAAACTACTCCAGTATGTAAGAGACCCTGAACTTACCACTCTGATTCTCACTAATACAAAAGGAAGGACTTTTAATAATCACCACACAGACATTGTCTTCCTCCTAAACCACTTAGACCCACTCTCCATGGACAAAGCAAGAACTCATTTTTAACACAAAAGAATTAAATTTATCAATTTAAGACATTTTGACCTGTGCTTTGGTCATAGAGATTGTCTACAGAAAGATCCATTTATTTCATATCAGAAAAATAAATATTCTCATTAGCAGTCTTTTTCATAGTGAAATCCAAAAGATATTTTGGGTTTGTTTTAAAGTATGAAGAAATGAAAACTCATTATTATTGAAGAACAAAATATAAAATTATAGGACATCATATAATATTCAATAGGTCTTCTTTTGGAAAAGTAGCTACTCAAAGACTTAAAAGTAGAAACGACAGTGGGTTCACAAGCCCCTAGTCACTGCAGGCCGGTGATATATAAAGAATTGACTCTCCCAGAAAAAAAAAAAAAAAAAAAAAAACTGCTTAATTTTACAGTGTCCTATCCTTATTACAGTGTCGTATTCTTAGTTAATGACCTTCCTCCTATTAAATCTTTCCTCAAAGTACCTTTTTTCCATTATTTTTCCCTATGACCTAAATTTTGTGCAGCCAGAATTGTTTTGGTTTTCAAAACCTCTAATTTTGGATGTTTCTTTTTATCTGTTTTATTTTTCTCAATTTCTCACACACTAATCAGATAAATAGGAATTCTATGGGCATCTACATAGTGACAGTTATACAAGTACAGAGGGAAAACAGTGGGTTTTAAATTGTAGGTAGGTTCACTTTTATTGGCCAAGTAAACCTGGAAAAGGTCTTTTAAACATCTGCACTTCAGTTCTCCCTTAAGAAAAATACACTCACAAAAAACTGCATATCACTATCTACCACATAGCATTTTGGAAGGATTTAACTGTGTAATATATATCAATGTGATTTTTAAAAAAAACACTCAAAATAAATGAACCAATGTTAGCATATAGTTTATAAAATGATCTATCAGTTTTCAAGATGTGAATCTGTTCCCTTGAATGAATATAACCCATCACTCTCATGAAGGACTATAATCTATAATTCCTGTAAACATACCACTTATGAGAATATAATAGGCACCTTTTAGTGAAAATTATCTCAAATTAATAGCCAAACCATAAGTATTGTGTAAAACCCATTAGTACTGACATGTTCTGATTGCATAGCACGAGGCCTTAAAGTTGATAGAACACAAACAAATAGTTGTGATGCTCATTTTCCTTTTTATGCCTTGGCTCAGGCTGTTGCATGGATTTAGAGAAGCTTTGCTTCTGTGTGACTTCTTATTAAAATGTAACACATCCCATAAGGCCAAGCTTGAATCCTGCTTTCCTTAAGAGTTGCTTTCCCAAACCTATAGCTCTGGTGAAACACCAGATATCATCTTATCCCTATTCCTCTATGAGTACTTAACATATTCTGCCTTATATTTTATCTCAGTATATTTGCATCTCCAAGTAGAACTTTCTGTGAATAGGGATGATATAAATTATTTATTTTTATTTCCCACCTAATTTACATATAAATAATATCTATGATATGTCTACGAGAAAAATGTAAAGCAAATCTTTAACATATAGATTGAGAGGTATGTTACATGTCAGTGTGTCTCATAAACTATACAGTACTAAGAGGACATAACGCTGAAAGTTTCCAATAATAGTTATCACAGGTGAATATGTTTCAGTAACTCTTGAGAATGGTCAGCTAATGTTTGAAAAACCACATTGCCTATTTGCTTATTTGGTGCAGTAATATATATGAATGTATTTTCACTCTGTGTTAAACATAATGCCATCTTCCTCATACAAACATAAAGAAGATTCCATAACTTCACACTGAACCATAAAATTTCTTCATGAACTGGCCTTGGCTTTTAAATTATTGTAAAGCAGTTCATGAAACTAAAACTGTCTGCCAGAGTCCATAAAAAAAAAAAAAAAGATCATTGTTTCAACTGGAAAGTTGATAAATTTGTACTCTGTCATAGAAATAAAATTCACATACTGGGTTTCATTGGAAAAGTCCACAGAACCATGTGCACAGTACATATAATGTTGTATTAACGGATGGAGATTACTACCGACCTCATAAGTACTAGATTTTGACTAAAGTGGAAACTACCAACTACTCCGCCAATGCAAATCAAAAGCAAATGGCATCTGAAGGCTTCAAACTGGATTTCTTTAAGGTATCCTTAAAACCAACCACAGAAGAGGGTAGCTCTAATATGAGGGTAACTCTATGCATTAGAAAAAAGAAATTTTGAAATAAAGAAGAATTGAGGAAAGGGGAATGATTCAACAAGAAGATGGTATTGAACTTAAAAGGTGAGCCACTGGCCTCTGAGATGTGAGAAAGAAGCCCTGGATCATTTTAACCCAAGCTAAGAGGAATGCAGGCAAACATTTTCTCCTGCCAGCCCAGAAGCACAACCCTACGTGGCAATCATGCTGCCTGGAAAAAGAAATGAACACTGACTAAATCAACACCCTGCTGATGTTCGGAAGTTGCAGTGTCATGAGCTGATGAGTGAATGAGGCTCTTCTGACACGCAAGTCATTTTCCATAGCCAGCAATAAAGGAGATATTTCGAAAGCACACACCAATGATTGAAAAATCTCCAGTAGCTATCCATGGACCACAGAGAGATTCCAGACACTGCATCAGAACATTCAAGAACTCTAGCATTTGGCTCCAGTCTTTTTAGCATAACTTTGTCCTATCCATCATTAAGAAAACTTTTCCCAGATGAGTTGAACATACCAAAAGTTTTGCAACTTCCCATCACACTACTCAAGAAAACCCATGTGAGTCCAGTACTCCAGTTGTACCCAAATTCTTCACTTCATTCATTCACTTATTCAGCAAGCATTTATTTTGCATTAACTCTGTGCTAGACACTATGTTAGCCAAGGAGAACACATATGTGGCCAAGGCAAAGGACCTGCTTTCTGGATGTTAATATTTTCACTGAAGGAGACAAATCTCTAGTGAGTAATTTTTAGTGAAAGCAGTTTGAGTAAGTGCTAAGTAGGTATAAATGAACATAGTTGTGAGCCTGGCAGGATTGGGATGGAAGGAGGAACCCTCAGATCCATTATCAAGGAAGATCTCTCTGCAATGACCTAAAAGTGGAGAATCCAGTCATGAGCTTAGCAGAAGAAAGATCATTTCAGGCAAAAGAAAGTCAAGGGAAAGGGCCCTCAAGTGGAAAAAGCCCTGGCATATTTTAAAAGCTGAGCAGTGACTAAGAAGGGAGATTTGAGAAACGGGAGGACAGGTCACTTTTAGTCTATGCTCAAGAGTTCCATGTCAAACTAAGTGCAAGAGGAAGCTATTAAAGAAATTTAAGGAGAGATGTTAAGCACATTTTAAAATGGCAATCAAAATTGTTATGTGGAAAACAGATTTTGTAGCGAGCAGGAGGGCTCTGCAATAATTCAGATCAGAGTTCATTCTTGTACTTTGCAAAATAAAAATAGGGCCGCATAGGTCAGTTGCCTCCTCTTTTTCTTCCTCTCCCCTCCATGCTTTCCATTCCTTTCTTTTCCTATTTTGCCCATTCTTGCTGTGGCGATGTTTCTCAACGCAGAAGGCACACACATCACAAAAGAAAAAAAAATAAATGTCCAAACATAGTAGGAAAAATATAAAAGTTCCTTTGCTTCTGAATTTGGGCGAATATGAAGCTCAAAAGTTTTGAAAATGAAATTGAGAACAGCTTGTGAGATATGTACAAAAAAGGAAAAAGCCAAGTTCTAAAGCACATTAAAACACATAAGAAACACTGTGCACTTCAGGAACAATACTTTTTCTCTTCTGAAAACTTTTTGAACAGTGGGAGTAAAACACGGAGTCCAAAATAAGTTATTTCCATTCTACTACTCAGATATCAATGTTTTCAATAAAGAAACAGATTTTTTTTTTCCTCTATATTCACCTCCCTAACTTTGGAGATTTATCCAATATCGTGCATCACCTTTTGATAAGGTACTGTATTTTTGCTTTGGACTTTGTTTCACAATATAGCAACTTAGGAGACTCTTAGCCCCATGTGAGGTTGCTCATCAGGTTTCAAGATGTAAGTAGACACCGAAGACATTAGGTTTCTAAATCACAGAATATTCAAGTTCTAGCTAGTATCATTAACACACCAGTTAGAGGGGGAAAAAAATTGGCAAGAGGTGAAACCTAAAAATTCCTGGCCTGAAAATGTAAGTCTTTGTTTTATGGAGCTATTAGATATATACTGTGACACAGGACACTTTTGTAGATATTTCATCACTTGCTAAAATCTCCAAATTTACTTCAAAATTTTGTGAACCCTAGTTAATTTTTCCTCCCAAAGTCAAATACATAAATA